AAATTTATTAAAACACCCCTGTAAAAACATTCTTAACTTAAATAATTTGGATAATTTTTTGTCCGTGACCGCTGCATGCCACCTCTCGGGGTTCCACACCCCATCCTCGAGGTAGGCCCCCGAGATGTTCCTGGGCCAGGCCTGCGCGAGGGGTGAATCGCGCAGGGCCAACAGGGCCGTCTTCGTGTACATAGTCCGAGCAAGGGAGTCCGTGGCATAGAGGGAGGGGTGATGTTCAGTCCCCTTAGGTCTTTCAGAACCAGGCCAAACGGAGACACAAACAGGCCGCGAGATATCCTCTAGGCCGGGGCGGGCCAAGTCCAAGTCCAGGCCCAAACCCAGGCCCTTGCCCTTGCCCGGCCAAGGCCGCTGGAAAGGCCGCTGGAAAGGCCATAGAGATCGTCAAGGCTGCTGGGGAGGCTCTGAAAGGCCTCCAGTTGAAATCAAAACGGCCAAAAAGGCCCTCGGATAGTCCAAACAAGCCGCTCAGCCATCGCGACCACCAGGGCTGCCACCACCGGGGGGCCGTCGAGGCTGCCCGAAGAACCCTCCGAAGGCCCCAGGCCGCCGGGGAGGCTAAAAACCATCGTCGGGGGGGGCGCCTGTGGGGGCCGTCGAAGCCACCCACAGAGTTCTTGGCCAGGCCGCCGCAGCCACCGAGGAGGCCACCGAGTCCACGCGGGCCTCCAGAGATCGTCAGGGAGGCCCTCCAGGTCGTCCAGGACATCTCTGAGTCCGGAAGGGGCCGAGGGGGGCAGCCAAAAAAGCCCCCACGGTCAAAGCGGGCGCCCAGGGGAAGTCGTCCGGGCCGCCCAGGCCGCCGTCCCAGAGGAAGCCACCCAGGCCGCCACGAGGAAAAGTCATCCGGGCCGCCCAGGAGCCATCCGTGCCATCTCCCATGAGGAGAAGCCATACGAGCCGCCCAGGCCGCTGCCTCCCCCACGAGCGTCTCCGCAGCCAGATGGTCCGGGCCGAGCGATTCGGGCCGAGCTGTCCGCCCCAAGGGCCACCGGAAAAGCCACCCACAAACCACCAACGGGACCGCCGAGGACGGAAGGCCGGGGAAGCCGAAGAGGCCGAAAAAAACGGTAACCAGTCGGCTCCACGTCCCCCGCGCCCCCATGCGTCCCGTATCCAGTCCAGGGGGGCTTACCGGGAGGGGGGGGAGTCTCCGGACCTTTCAGGGAGCTTTCCAAGCTTTCCAAGCTCCCCCTTTAGCCCCTTTAGCCATTTCGGGCTCCGCGTTTTTCGGAGCTATTCACCGAAGACCGCCATCTCTCACGCATGCGCAATCATGTTATCATCATGCGCAATCATGTTATCATCAGAGAAGTCTACTCCTTATTGGCTGAAGTCGGACCATTTGGAGAAATTCACATTTTTTCATGAAAGCCCAGGCTGCCCATTTTCAGACCAAACTGCTGGCCTAAAGGCTGCAAGAAATTTTATGCCAGAGGCATTTTATGGGTGTTCATGTACTTACCTACAGTTGTAACGGTCAAGAATGTTATCACTCATTTTTTATTCTCCATTGTTCCTCTATCGTCGCTGTTCAGGCTTTTCACTAGCATGACTCTTTGACATTATTCAATAGGCAGAGCGTCTTTATTTCCAACCGCTGAACTCCAAGACACAACATTGCATGTTTGGTCAGATGGCCTCAGTCAACCATCCTGTTGGAGATTTTCTAATGGGAATTCTGGGAAAGCTCTGCCCTCTCCTTGCTGTCACTGACAGAACAAAACTATTGGCTAGCTTTGCAATATTTTTTTGCAAAATGCAGTTCCAACCTGTATACTTATTTTTTGAATACTATTATTCATATTTCATTGGCTCACTCATCAGCTCACGACCTTTTTGCATGGAAGCACTGTGTATAATACACTCCTCACTTCTAGGTATTAAGAAAGAGCTTATGATCATATTACACACAGGACCACTTACTACTAGGTAGTCCACCCATACCCGTCCTCCTGTTATGTTGCCCTAGAAATAATCAGCATATCTCTATGTGCATTTCTGTGTGAGTGCGTGAATATGTATGTATATATGTACGAATGCATGTATATATGTACGATATAAACACTACCTCAAGTTGAGCTAATCTAATAGCTACATGGACACGCCCANAAGAACAACAACAGCAATAATAATCATAATAATAATAAAGTTGGAAGGGACTTGGAGGTCATCTAGTCCAACCCCTTGCTCAGGCAGGAAACCCTATACCATTTCAGGCAAAAGGCTGTTCAGTCTTTTCTTAAAAAGTTCCAGTGTTTGAGCATTCACCGCTTCTGGAGGCAAGTTGTTCCACTGATTAACTGTTCTAACTGCCAGGAAATTCCTCCTTAGTTCTAGGTTGCTTCTCTCTTTGGTTAGTTTCCATCTGTTGCTTCTCGTCCTGCCTTCAGGTGCTTTAGAGAATAGCTTGACTCCCTCTTCTTTGTGGCAACCCCTTAGATATTGGAACACTGCTATCACGTCACCCCTCGTCCTTCTCTTCATTAAACTAGATATACCCAATTCCAGCAACCGTTCCTTTTATGTTTTAGCCTCCAGTCACCTGATCATCTTTGTTGCTCTTCTCTGCACTCTTTCTAGAGTCTCAACATCTTTTTTATATCGTGGTGATCAAAGTAGTTGTATGGAAAGACAATGAGATGACAGGAATATCTGAAAATGCAAAGTATACTGATTTTTTAAATCCAGAATTTGGTTCATTTATTTGGGTGATTGTGTGGATCCCTGTACAAAGTCTGAAGAATGTTTGACACGAGTGAGATCTTAATTTTTTCAGTCCCTGGAAAGGAAATAGATCACGTACAATGCTTTGTCTTTGATTTAATGTATATCTGTATATTTTTTTAAAGCGATCACTTTCTATCTGTCTAGGAGTAGTAGTGGTTGCTGTCCTGAGTTTTTTCTTCATTCCTCTCCCATCTCCCAGCAAATCTCTCAACATAGCAACTAACAGAAAGTCAGAAGTTATGCAATTCCAACTCTACCTCCCCAGGCATCAACAACAGCTGTAAAGTTGGATTGCGCTTTTAAGCATGATTTTATGCAATATGTATTTTGTTCTAATTAAATTGCCTCTTAAATGTGGAAAAGATTAGGTTAGGTTGGGCTAACCTGACCTGGTATGAACACCAGATGGAAATTTCAATTTAGTTACATCACTAAATTACCCTTTAAATATAATGTACGCTATCATTGTACATCAGGGTTCCAAGTCTTTGAAAGTTAGTCATTGGTCAATCTATTTGGAATCAATGGAACAGATTAAGCAACTAAATACTAATGTGGGAGTATGCTTTCATTAAATTGAGTGAGGGTTACCTCCAAATAATAAACAGATTCATATGTTTTACATAAATGCACATGAAGAGGCAATAATCTGTCCTTTTTTCTGTCTCATAGGCTTCTGTTATATGACTTTGATAACTCTGAACACACTTTGATAATCTGATTAGAAGATTTTCCTGAACAAAGCTTCTTCTCCTAATGCTGTAGTGACCATGGCCATTCTTAAAGTAAAATTCACCAAAACCAAGCGAGACAAACTGGCTCAAATCCTATGGATTCTCAACTGGTTTTCTGTGATATCTGGCGCAGTTGTGTTCAGCCTTGGACTCTTCCTAAAGATCGAAATAAGAAAACGCAAGGAGGTGATAGCGAAATGGGATATTAACTCTGTTCCAAATACTTTAATTTCTATTGGAGCCATAGTTTGCATGATCAACTTTTTTGGAGGTAAAATATGTTATGACTGCACGGATGCCAATAAATTTAACCGCTGGAAGCTGATCATGCTCCCTTATATTGTATGCACTCTCTGTTTTACCTTCTACATCTTTGTGGGTGCTATTATGTGCTATACTATGAGAAATGAATTGGAAGAATCTCTATATCTGGGATTGGGAAATGCTATTAAATTCTACAAAGATACAGACATTCCTGGAAGATGCTTTTTGAAGAGAACTATAGACACTTTGCAGATCAGATTCCAGTGCTGTGGAAACAATGGTTTTAGGGATTGGTTTGAAATTCAGTGGGTATCACCTCGTTATCTGGATATGACTTCAGAGAATGTTCTAGAGTAAGTATTAATGTCCTCTGATAAAATGAGCTTGAACCTAGGCTTCAACAGGATCAAGGAGACCCAACTAGATCAGCGGTCCCCAATATTTGCGGCTTGGTGGTCTGGCTGGGATGGAGGGGAACCTGGCTGCATGAGTGGCGGGCTGGCACACATGGAGCTCCACTTGTATAAGTGGTAGGCCAGCATGCATGCACATGTACATCAGCCCACCACTTGTACGAGTGGAATTGCATGCATGTGCGCTAGTCTGCAACTTGCGTGGCCCAGTTCCAAATCGGCCACAGCCTGGTAGTGGGCTGTAGTCCGGGGTTTGGGGACCCCTGAACTAGATGATGAGGAGCCTGAAAGGTATGTGTTTTGCTTGAGGAAAGTTATGGAGAGAAAATACAGTACAGTACTGTCAAATAACTAAGGGATGTCATCTCAAATATGGAGCAGATTTCTCATTTGTTCAAGAGCGCAAGACTAGGCCAGTGGGTGGAAATGGTAAGAAACCAACTTGGCTTTAACATTAGAAGAATCATCTGAGAGGCAAGGTTTCTGAAACATGGCAAACTGTTCAATAATAAACCTCAGTCCTTTCCATAGTAGTATCTCTACCTTACCTGAAGTATTGAGTTATCTGTAGATATATCCAGCATTGAAAATTCAAAATTGAGCAAAATATTGGATTGCATTATGGATGCGGAACATTCTCACGTCAAGGGCCGCTCTTATTTTTGTACAGTAAGCTAGAGAGAAGTACTCCAAAAATAGATAGAACCAGGATGTATAGGGCAGGGGCAGGACAATACTAAATTTAATTTAAAGTAAATAAATATATTTTGTATGATTACCTTACCATGTATTTAATAGTTTACCCTTTCCATCATATTAAGAATAACAGTTCAGTAGTAACCTAGAAAGGGCCCTGCGGATTACCTTCACCTCTTTTTGGTAGCCTAATTTAGGCACAGAATTCTCTTCACTAAATTACAGTACGTGATCTCTAGAATGTCTTCCAAATCAGAGTAAAAATGGAATGATGAAAGCTGTCTTTTCTAAACCACTATGTTTAATAATTTAGCAATTAATTTTAGCATGAAAGTATTTTTTTCCTTCAAAGTTCTATAACATAAAGTAAAACCTATAATTTTAAGCAGCCTATTTTGACCATTAGCTGTTTTGGGGGATGGGGTTCCAAGGGAGAGGTCAAGTTTTTGGGATTTTTTAAAGACTTTTTTTTTAAGTACATTCAAACTAGTTTAGGAATTACACTGTAGTTGTAATCTACTATGGTTTTTGAATGCTTCCTGATTGAAAATGGCAGGAAAGTGTGCTGCCGGTTTTCAGCAATTGTACTTCTCTATACATGCAATTTTGTGATACTAAGATTCTAATTAGAAACATATTCCTAAGGGGAAGAGTAAGCCTTTGTCCTAAACAGAACACGAGTATCACGTGACAGCAGTCCCTTATGATCTGCTAGGAGTTAGATCTGTGGGCAATCCACCTGATTTCAGAACTATTTCTCTTATCAATCTCTTCTTTCTCCCTCAATGTTGCTTGTATTTGGGTTCCTCTGCAACATCAGGAGAAAATCATTTCCTCCTTTGCTAACCACCACTTTAGGCAAAATTATAACCATCTGGTATATACAGTATTTGAGTTCAAATCTACCATCAAAAGATGACATCTCTACAAAATAGAACATGCCTCTTATGCATTTCTGCAGGGAAGGTCGATCTGAACTCATACAAAATCTAAGTGGTTAATTTAGAGACCTCTAGAAAGCAACCAAACTTTTCCTTCCAACAAAATGCAGTGAATCAGTAAATTTTAATCCTCTTTGTCTGAATTATTAGCCATTTTTACACAACTCTCTTCCTCACACCCTGCATCTTATTGCAGTCGTCTAAAAAGTAATATTGATGGGAAATTCTTGGTGGATGGAGTCCCCTTCAGTTGTTGCAATCCAAACTCACCCCGACCATGTATCCAGTACCAGCTCACAAACAACACTGCTCACTACCGTTATGATGTTATGACAGAAGAACTTAATATCTGGATGAAAGGATGCAGGGAAGCCCTTCTGGATTATTACACTGACATCATGAGTTCCATTGGCATCATCATGTTCATCGTTTGGGTATTTGAGGTAAAACCACATTTACTGAAGTGTTCCTTTCGTAAATGTACAATTTGTCAAAAGAAGGAACAACTTACTATGGAATGATTGGTGAGGAAGAGACATACCACTAAAAATATTGCTGAATGCATGTAATCTTTTCAAGAGCAATTTGCAATTGCAATTAAAAGAAAATTAAAACAGGAATTCTTCTCCCCTCCTCCATCCTACTAAATATATTGTTTGAATCCAATTTTCCATACAAGTATGTATGTTTATGATAAGAGACTGGGGTCAAACTCTTAAATTAAATTCTCTGAAAAGCAAATGGGCATCTGGGAAGAAAGCTTACACATCAGGTCTCTTCCAGGCATCAGAAATGGTATGGAACAGTTTTTGATTGTGTGCTAAGCAAAGTTCTTATTCATTGAAACCTACTGATCTAAGCAAGTGAAAAAAAAAGATAGTTTGAATGAAAATATTTTATCTATAGTAGCATTTCAAGGATGTTTGAAACTATTTTCTGAACTACTAATCTGGAAAAAATTAGAAAACAGAATAAAATAGAATAGAATGTTACCTTTCTGCTTTTTTATAGTTTCCATCATCAATTATTCCAGATTGTTTAGAGGGAAAATTAAACAGATTAATGGGCATTTTAAGAAATTACATTTTAATAGCAAGAGCAACTATAGTCCATTATCTTCCTTAATGGAAGGCTGTGATTACTATAGCTTTTTAGGCCTGATACTACCAAAAATAAGTGATTCCAATAGAAGAGAATATATGTAGCCCAGGGTTAAACTGTGAAGCATTGGTTCTCTTAAAAGCTTGACATAGATTCCTTCCCTTTTCACCCACTTCTCACAGCATTTTAATAGCAAGAGCAACTATAGTCCATTATCTTCCTTAATGGAAGGCTGTGATTACTATAGCTTTTTAGGCCTGATACTACCAAAAGTAAGTGGTGCCAATAGAAGAGAATATATGTAGCCCAGGGTTAAACTGTGAAGCCTTGGTTCTCTTAAAAGCTTGACATAGATTCCATCCCTTTTCACCCACTTCTCACAGCAGAGAATTAAGGTGAGGTAATCTTGAGTTTTTTTCTCACTTGCTCCCCCCTTCCAAGGCTAATGTTTATATAATGACTTTCTTCTTCAAAGTTATGTTCATACAATCTACAAGCTCAGTCTTGGCAGTGCCACTGCTAGTGAGATTTAAAGGGTGCACCATGAATGTCCTAAATGGTCTCTAGTGCATATATTCAGTAAATATTCTTTAGCAACACTGGGAAACTGTAGCCAAAAGTGTTAAGAATTACATATTTCTCAAAGACAAACAGCAACAATTCAACAGTGAAATAGTTTTGTGTAAAGGAAGAGCAAGAGAGTGCCAAGCAGAATGAATCAGGAGGAAAGAATGATATGTTACATGTTTCAGTACTATTCAGCTTGATGAAAAATGAATTCAGAAGGATTAGCCCAAATCCTTCTGGTTAGAAAACAGGACTCTTCATATTTTCAAAAGTGCCCCAATTTAACTGTGAGCTAAAGTTTTTCACACCAAATAAACTAACTGGTCCAAATATTTAAAAATTCAGGCACATGGTGGTCATCACCACCAAACTCTTAAATTCTGTGTTGTGGTGTACTATATATAATTAGTGGAATCGCAACTCTCTAATGTTCTGTTCCTTTGGATTACTTTTTTTCAGCTACTGGTCCTCATTGGGGTTCGTTATCTTCAAACATCAATGAGGAACCTTCTTCTACAGGCGGATCCATTCTGTGATTCCGATGGCTGGTTATTTGAAAACAGTTTTGTGGAAACTGCCGTATGGAACATCAACAAAATTAAACATCTTGGCAAAGGGAACAAAGTATCCAGTGGTTTGGATAATTCTAATATGGATGTTCACACTGCAAACCATAATTCAGAAAATACTCCTCCCAAATATATCCCTGCAGCTTAATTGAATGTAATACTAAAGACTTGACAACTGCATCATAATGTATAAGTAACATGGCAATCGGTTTGTGCGATGTGCTATGCCATGGCTGTGCCATACAATATATGAGTTTGCTTGCTTGCTTTGGTTCCTCCCCACCTTAGCAACCCATTTTGACTCTCAATCCTTAAAGAGATGGTGTTGGACCAATAACAGAATAAGAGGAGTCCAAAGCAGCATTTGGTACTCTGGGAATAATCCTAACAGTGAGGGGACTGGTAACTGTTAAGGTGGTTGCAACTCTTGAAAGGCCATCATCATCAGACAGGTCTAAACAAAAACAGTTTTGAGCACAGTGTTCGAAATAGTATTTATAAACATGGTAACTCTTCTTATGTAAATTTTGAGTATCGGTGAATATCTGGGATATCAAGTATAAAGAATAACATTTCAGAGGAACTACTATTGACTTATATCACTTGCACTACTATGAGCATCTAATCCAGGGTTGGGAAGAAGGAAATCTATAATTCATTGCCAATTTCTCCTTGGCCATCTGTTGCCTACAAGTTGTGGGAAATTTGTAAATATGACTGATTCATTTGAGCATTTTGTTTAAGCAGAATATATTCAGAATCAAATAACTATACTTAGTAAGAAATCGACCTAAATATACTTTGTAAAATTAAAGTATTTATCCGTAGAACATTGTGTTCACTGCCTTGAATTATATATGGGATAAAAGTTGGGATAAAAATATTAAAACAAACAAACAAACCAACCCTGGTGGTAATTAAAAAGGCATGTAGTACAGCCCTAGTCCTAGCTTTCCACTAAAGGGGTCATCAGGCCAAGAGATTTTGTTTTTTAGAGATAAGAGAAATCTTTTTCAACAAAAACAGATTCAAGAAGTTGCAGTTCTTGTTCAAATTATTAATCAAAAGTCAGCGATGACATTAGCAAGACAAATACGAAAGATGCAATAGCATCTGCTTTGATACAGAAATAATTTAATGAAGATTTCTAGTATTATTTTTTCTATATATGGAATGCAATTATAAGAATACTACTTTTCAATCTTGCTATGCATGGAAATTACCCATTACATTCAAGGGCCATATTATTTAACATATTACTGAAAAACGAGAAAGAAAAAAAAAAAAAAGCAATTGTTGAGTAAAAAATCCCTGAACCAAGAGGATCACTCAGCCATTGAAAACCTAGCTTTCAGCACGTACAAAATCCAGCATCTGATTTACATGTGTTGATTTGCCTCACTTAATGCTTTTTTCCAATATTTCACAGCCTCATGTGTGAGCTGCACTGAAGATACTATCGTTTGAACTACATCTCTGCTGTGTATGTTCTGTCAGGCGCTTGGGAAATAAGCCTGAATGAGCATGAGAAATGAGCATGAATTTACTGGAGAAATTTCTAAAATCTGTGCTGCTTTTTTTTAACACAAGATTCTTATAGTCATAGTTAATGGGCCATGGCAAGCTCTGAGGCAGAGAAGATATGTCAAAACTGAGGCCTTGATATGTTCTCTGCCTTTTCTTTGTTCTTTTTTCTTTAAGGAGCAGTTTCTCTTCCATCCTGCAAGATCCTACAGAGCAGGTATACTTCATGTCCCATTCAAAATTTGTAAGCCAGTCAGAGTCCATATTGAGTTAGGTGGCCTTATAGATGTTCCTTTCTCTCTTACTTTCCTTAAGTTCTTATGAACTAATTTAATGTTTTTATTACTTAGATTAGCATTGGCCAGAAAATCAACAGTAGGCATCTTTTTATCTGGGAACGAGAAAAAAATTAAGTTTGTATTACAGGCACAAACAGAAAAAAAAATCTCCTTTTATTTTTTTTATTGTATTTTTAAAAGAAAAAAGTAGGTAATGTTTAAATTTACGTTACAATATAACATTTGGTACATATATTAAGGACTCCTTTTAGCATGGATTTTGTTTTATGAATTATTTTATGAATAACCTTACTATTTTACAAATATTATTTGAAGTATTGTTATGTTTGCTGCATACAGTATAAAATGTTATTAGACTATGTGTGGTAGATATGAGGTTATGACAGTACCTTTTGAATAATGTATTCATTATTTTTGTACAATAATAATGTATAAGATTTTTAATCCCCCTTAAGAACTAATTTAGTCTGAAATTTGTTGGGCAATACGTAAAGATTACTTGCAATAACAAATGATTTTTTTTCCCCCATTCCTGTTTTCCTGCAGTACAGTTCCTTCCCATTTTGGGATACGCCAAGAGCAAAGCATTTAATTTTTGATAGACGTTAAAGCTAACTGGAAGCTCTCAGAATTAACAAAATTAACCTGCACTATCACATTCTCATTCTGAAAGGATTCACAATAAATATTAACTTCCTTTCCAGCATACCTTGCTCTTATGCTTTGTGTAGTGCTTCACCCTCAGGTTGTTATAATGCTGCACCCAAAGATAAATCATGGACAAAGCCGTTTACAGATTACACTTATTTTGAGACCTGCTATACTAAAAAAGGAAACAGAAGGAACTAACGTGGTAAGAGGAGATTAAACCACTTTGTTCTTATATCCAGATGCATTGAAAACTATGTATATATTTAGAACCGCTGCTGCAAAAGAATGAAAATACTGTTGACTGTTTTTAATTTGGATAAGTGGAAAAAGTCAGCTTACTGATGATCCAGACAGTTCTGCTTTTGATCATTTAGCATTTATATCTGGGAAGCTGTATGCATGCATTTTGTTTTCCCTAACCAAATTCAAGCCCACAAGTTTCAGTACGCAGATGTGGGTTAGTCATTTTCCCTTAAACTAAGATTCTTCATATTCTTTGTGTGATGTTTTACAAGTGAGGTGTTGGCAATTTAGTCTCAATGAGCTTGAAACTCAGAGCAGGTGCCAATTAAATCCCAAAAACACATGATTAGTTTCTTGGCTTCGAGCAATTTCTTCTATGATGCAGTGTTGTCGCCATAACAAGTGGAGCTTCCGGTATCGTTCATGAGACAGGTGCAGAGGATTGCCTCTTCTTCAAAGAGAAATAAAAATACAATTATTGGGGTTTAAAAAAATAATATTTAGCAGCATTTTATTTGACCTGCTCAGATACATACCCCAGCATGAAAGGATTATAGAGTTGGAAGTGGTCATTCAGGCCAATTAATTCAACCAGTTAAAAATCTCACAGGTGGCTATTTATCAGTCCCATTTGGCCCAGGGGAACCCACCAACTTGCTGAGTAGTTGGTTCCACTGCTGAAGGGTTCTTGCTATTGGGTAGTTTTAATTAATTCACAGATAAATATTTGGGAGCAGCAACATCAGGCACAAATCACATTTTCACCAGCAAAGAAGTCTCTATTGTTCAGAAAATCAAGTGACATGTTACTGACACTGTTATGGCACAGTAGGCAGTAATTTAAATAAAAATATGAGGGGAAAACTAGCATCTAATAATTTGAATATGAAGGACGGTAAAAATTCATTCAATGAAGATAGAGCAGTGGTTCTCAACCTTTTTAATGCCGCGACCCCCAACCGGTCATAAGTCGAGGACTAAACTGGTCGTAAGTCGAGGACTAAACCGGTCATAAGTCGAGGACTACCCAACCGGTCGTAAGTCGAGGACTTTCCCTGCCCGGGAGCGCCGCGCATGCGTGGTTCTGCCCCCTGCGCTGGCCGAGGCGTAGCTGGCAAGCGGCAGAGACGGAGCAGGCCGACCACCAGCTGGCCCAGCTCAAGGGAGGTAAGGCACCCGCCGAAAAAGGGGAAAAAAATGGCGGACAGCCTTGCTTGGCGACCCCCGTGAAATGGTCGATCGACCCCAAATGGGATCGCGACCCATAGGTTGAGAACCGCTGACATAGAGCTTCTTACAAGACAAAGAGCAAAACAGAAACTTACATCAGATTTGGATCAGTTTCTCCATATTCATCTAAATATGGCGCAGGATAGAAAGAACCTCTATTTTTGCCACCAATCAGCAGAACCCTGCAGTCTCTGATTCTTAAGGAGAAAATAGGGGAAAAAAACCCTGAAAATCAACAGAAATTTGCTGGCAGGCTTAGTACAAAATATTAAGAATGTGCAAACAAAGTCGATCATATCTAGAGAAAGTCTGTGCAAAAAGTGTTTCCAACTTATTCTTCTCTGCTAGCATATGTACCCGTTTCACTATTCCCAAGGATCATAGTCTTGTTAAGTGGGGGGAGTTATGACATGAGAAATCACTTCCCCCCAAAAAAAGTAAGCACTGATCTCTTCTCCAAATAGTGTAAGGCAAGGTTTCTCAACCTTGACAACTTTAAGATGTCTGGACTTCAACTCCCAGAATTCTCCAGTCACCTAGGCTGTCTGGGAATTCTGGGATTTGAAGTCTAGAAATCTTAAAGTTGCTAAGTTGAGAAACATTGCTCTAAGGCAGAGGTCCCCAACTTTTTGGGCACCAGGGACCGGTTCTGAGGAGAGAGGTTTTTCCGCGGATCAGAGGGGATGAGGTTTTGTGTGCTGCCTGCATTCCGTGGATGGGGTTTTCTTGTTTGTGCGGACCAGTTGCTGGCATGCTGCGGCCCGGTACTGGTCCACGACTGGGGATTGGGGACTCCTGCTCTAAGGTTCCTTCTTACTGAGGACACAATCCAATTTCAGGGATCATTCCAGTCTTTGTTAACTAATCTAATCTGACCGCTTATCTCTCCACAAATAAAAGAAAGCAGAAGAATTATTTTTACCCACTTCTTTCCTTGAGCTGAATTATGGGTGCTATTCTCCAATATATCTGGCACACACAAGATTGGGAATCCATCACCATGCCCCAATTAGTTTAGATTAGTTTTATTTTCCAGCTGTCACTTACTTGAGAAAAATGCAAACTCCAGCACCACATGAAACCGCATGTGAATTGCAAGCCCCCAGCTCTTCTCCATTTACTAGCACTTGGCAGCAGGTGTTTTGAGAACACAACATAGCCCCACAAAACAAACATAGGACAGGATGTTTGGTTTCATCATCAGAAGATCGAGGGCACCTGGACAGGTAAAGTTAATTACACAATGAGATTTGGAACCAAGATGGCTATTTTGAAAAGTGCTCTTGTAAGTATAGTGCCAAATCATCAACAAACACCATTTGGTTGCTAATATTCGTACAACCAGAAATTAGAAGGTAGATAATAAAAAGTACTTTTCAGCATTGTTATATTTCAGTGCAAATAGAAATCAGCTACAATGGAGAATGAAACTAGCTAGTTCCAAACAGTTTTGTACTGTTAATACAGACTTATACCTAAGAGACATGGGACAGTTTTAGATGTATGAATAGATGTATTAAAGTTTGCTTTAATATTCAAATGTTAGAATATTCACATAGAAATCTGGGACTAGCAAATTAGAATCTGAAAGTTCAATTTCAAACTGGATTGAAAATTCAGCTATATAATATGTTGATTTATTTTCTTATTATGTCTGGATTCACAGAAAAATAAAAACAAAAAAAAAACCAAGATCTCTCCTTGATTTAGAGAGACTTTTGCACATGTAGCTAATGATATCTCTGCTAAAAGACCAAGATAGAAATGTGCTTCTCCCATTTATAAAGCTGAAACTTGTCAAAATGGGAAGAAAATGTCTGGGATAAACTGTGCATTGACTCTACACTCAAATTATGGTACAAATTTTTTTCATATAAAGCATAATCCATGATTTGACATTATGACTGAACATAGTCATAATTTCAAATTAAAAATCAGTTGAAGCCTTTAAAAATGGTCTTGAATACGGCCTTTTCAGTCTATAAAATGTGATTTAAATTGGATAGCAGTTATAACAACTAAATAACAGATATAGTAATTAAGTACTTCTGAAGTTAAATTTGCAAAGCAGCTCATGCATTTTGAATATTAAAAAACATTGATATTATGAATTATCTTCTTAACCAATATTATTTACTGAACTTCAGGGGCAATAATATTTTCCAAATACTGGATCTTATATAATTAAAAAAATATATCACATAAGTATCTTTATATATTTTTTGCAATATTACACTCAGGGTACCATCGAAATAGGGTGGCCAGTTCTATAAATACAATAAGTTCTACTTTACTATGAGAAAAGTGTGTATAAGATCATAGTTTGAAAGCATTAACCTTGTGAACTCTCAAGCTTCCTCCTTCCGTTATATATTCAAGATGGACAGTATTTAATATTTGTTTATGTATATGTAAGGGTGTGGGTCTATACATATGTTGTACATAGTATGTTTAGATGTGTGTCATGTATGTGTTTCACTTTGAGAGCGGGCAACTAAATTTCATTTCTGATGTGTGCCGTTGTACCCACAGTAAAAAAAATGACAATAAAGGTTATCTTGTCTTATCTTATGAGGATAATAATTTCATCATTGGCATTTGACATACAGAGAAGTGAGACTTCCTGTTCAGCAATAACTGCCATGCATTTTGTACTTAAAGACAGTAAATTTTCTTTTTAGTATCTTTTTAGATACTTGTTGATTTCCAATCAACATTTACACCCCTAAATATGCTTTCAAAATACTTGGAAGAGTTTTTAGAAAAGTTTACAATGGGCATTACTCTTTACTCAGTAAATGTGAAAAAGTAAAAAGAAGAGTTGTCAACACTGAGAGACACAAGAAAATCCATCTCCAGACTGATAAAAATGCTTCCATGTAACATTCCAGTTAACCTGGAACAGGACACCA